GTGTTTTATTTAATTTTCAAATAGATGAGGGGGTTTTTCTGTTTTTGTTTTTGTTTCTCATTGATATCTAAAGTAATTCCACTGTAGTTACAAAACTCTATGGTTTTAGCTTTTTAAAATTTATTGAGACTTGTTTTACATTTTAGCATATGGTCTATTTTAGTAAATGTACTATGTGTACTTGAAAATCCTGTATATGGGATCCCTGGGTGGCGCAGCGGTTTGGCGCCTGCCTTTGGCCCAGGGCGCGATTCTGGAGACCCGGGATCGAGTCCCACGTCGGGCTCCCGGTGCATGGAGCCTGCTTCTCCCTCTGCCTGTGTCTCTGCCTCTCTCTCTGTATGACTATCATAAATTAAAAAAAAAAAAAAGAAAAAAAGAAAATCCTGTATATTATGCAGTTCTTAAATGTACCATTTGTAAACTTCGATTAGATCAAGATGGTTGATGGTATTTTTCAGAACTATATGTCTTTATTGATTTTTTTTGTCTATATTAATCAGCTTCTAAAATAAGTAGGGATTTGAAAATCTCTTACTATGACTGTGGAATTGTCTACTTTTTAATTTCTATTTTTACTTTTTGTATTTTGAACTTTGTTAGTAGGCATATACATATCAATAATTGCTAGGTCATCCTGATAAAATGTCCTTTTTTTCATTGTCTTGAAATGATGTGTGGATGTGTGTATGTGTGTATATATATATATATATATTTCATATATGTATGAAGTAGCATATAGTGAAAACACTAATAGATAATATATTTTTGCTTTAAATAGTCATGCATAGTGGAAAGAACTTAGGAGACAAGAAATCATTTTATACTTATTATTTCTGATGATCATTGTTGGTTTACAAAGATGCTATTTTCCTCCAGTATCTTTTCCCTTTGACTGAAAATTTTCCTTTAAGCAGTTCTTGTAAGTTAGGTCTGCCTCTGATGAATTCTCTTAGTTTTCCTCTATCTGAAGATACCTTTATTTCACTGGATTTCCAGAGGAGTATTTTCTGTGGATGTAGAATTCTGGGTGGATCCCCTTCTGCCTCAGCAGGATCATTTGGCCTCCATATTTCTGAAGAGAAAGTTACGATTATTCACATTATTGTTCCCCTGTATGTAATCTTTCATACTTTTGGTTTCAAGACTTTTTTTTTTATCATTGTTTATCAGCAGTCTGATGTATGATGTGTTTAGGTGTAGTTTCCTTTGGAGTTTCTTGCTTACAGTTCACTGAGCTTCTCAAATTTGTACATTTATGTCACTAAATTTGGGGAATTTTCTGTTACTGTTTCATCAAATATTTTACTCCCAATTTTTGTGTCTTTGCAGGCTGCCTGTTATATATTAAGATTTATTTATTTATTTATTTATTATTTATTTATGATAGACGGGGTGGGAGCAGAGACACAGGAGGAGGGAGAAGCAGGCTCCATGCTGGGAGCCCAACATGGGACTCGATCCCGGGACTCCAGGATTGCGCCCTGGGCCAAAGGCAGGCACTAAACCGCTGAGCCACCCAGGGATCCCTATATTAGGCTTTTTAACATGGTCTCACGGGTCCCTGAAGCTCTGTTCATTTTTTTTTTTTTTTAAGATTTAAGCAGGGGTACTGGGAGAGGGAGAAACAGGCTCCCCACTGAGCAGGGAGCCTAATGTGGGGCTTGACCCCAGGACCATGACCTGAACTGAACAGGTGCTTAACCGACTAAGCCACTTAGGTGTCCCAGCTCTGTTCATTTTTATTCAATCTTTTTTCTCTTTATTCTTTTGTTTTTAAGATTTTATTTATTCGAGAGAGAGAGAGAGAGAGAGAGAGAGAGAGAGAGAGAGGCAGAGAAGCAGGCTCCATGCAGGGAGCCCGACGTGGGACTCGATCCCAGGTCTCCAGGATCATACCCGGGGCCAAAGGCGGAGCTAAGCTGCTGGGCCACCGGGGCTGCCCTCTCTTTATTCTTCATATTAGATCATTTATATTAAACTGTCTTCAGGGTCACTCTTCATTTTCATTTGTTTTAGTTCCTCTTTAAGTCTATCTAGTGAGTATTTTATTAGTGTGTTTTTCAGTTGTAAAATTTTCATTTGGCTTTTTAAATACTTTCTACTGTCATAACTGTCTTTTCATTATTTCATGTTATTCTTTGACCTCTTGGAGCATCATTAAAATAGCTGCTTGGGGTACCTGAGTGGCTCAGTTGGTTAAGCATCTGACTCTTGGTTTCAGCTCAGGTCATGGTCTCAGGGTCGTGAGATTGAAGCCTGCATCAGGCTCCACACTCACTTTGGAGTCTGTCCTTTTCCCTGTCCCTCGAGGTATCACTCCACCCGGTCCTCACTCACTTTCTGTCTCTCAAATAAATAAACTTTTTAAAAAATAGCTGCTCTAGGGATCCCTGGGTGGCGCGGCGGTTTGGCGCCTGCCTTTGGCTCAGGGCGCGATCCTGGAGACCCGGGTCGAATCCCACGTCGGGCTTCCGGTGCATGGAGCCTGCTTCTCCCTCTGCCTGTGTCTCTGACTCTCTCTCTCTCTCTCTCTGTGTGACTATCATAAATAAATAAAAATAAAAAAAAATTCAAAAAAAAATAGCTGCTCTAAGGTCCTTTATGATCATTCCAGCTTATGGGTCATCTCAGTTAAATCTGTTGACTCTCTTTTCCACTGAGAATGGATACATTTTCCTGGTTCTTTATATCAGGTAATTTTGGATCTTAGAAATTGTTAATATTGTGTAGATTCTGAGCTCTAATATAATTCTCAGGAATTACTGCTTTAGCAAGAGGTCAGCCCAGTTAGATTTGGACACTGGACTCTGTCTTTCCATCTTGATTCACATCTCAGTTCAGGATTCAAGCCTTTCTTCACTGTTACCAGTCAGTCCTGCACATGCATATTTCAGGAGACAGTCTGAAACTTGTGTGATACCATACACAGAATTAGAGGGCCTCTTGTCTGGCTCTCCCTCTTTCAGGATTCCCACTACAGCCTTTGGTCTGCCTAGGCTCCCTTCCAGGTTTCTCTGGGCACAATACAGCAGGGTTCCAGTCGAATCTTAGTCACTCTGCCTACCATATCCCTCAGCAGCCATGGTTATCCTCATGGGAAAAACTGGAAAAAGAGAGAAAACCACAAACTCATCCTAATGGCAGTATCTTCCCACCTTTGAACTCCCTGCACATAGCAGTCTGCCATCTTGTATTCACTTTTGGTGGTCTCGGGTGGTTGTATTTGGTATTTTATTCAGAGTATTAGTTATCAGCAGGAAGATGGGCTGTAGGATGCTTACACTACTATGTAAGAGGACGAACTCTGTTATTTTTGGAAAGCTGGTTCTCTTCTGGCTCTATCGTCCCCTGTCTGATATAAGAACATGTCATACATTGTTAACACTTCTGTTTTTTAATTTGTTTCTTCTATCTAGAACTTCATTACCTCTTCTACTTAAATTTGAATGCATTTTTCAAAGCCCAAGAAAAAGTCCATCTAACTTTTTGAAAACTAAACCACTGCCCCTTGTTGCCTCCCTTCCTATTTCTGTGAGCCCGGGGCACTTTACTCATACTGGAGTGTTACATTTATGTTTCAACATATGCTTCACAATTATTTCCTCAAGTATTTATCAATTACCTATCATATGCCAATTTGATTTTTTTTTGCTTGTTTATTATTTTAACTATAAACAATGAAATCTTAAAAAACAAATTTTGCTTGTTTATTATTTTAACTATAAACAATGAAATCTTAAAAAACAAAGCAACTTTGGGATCCCTGGGTGGCTCAGCGGTTTGGCGCCTGCCTTCAGCCCAGGGCGTGATCCTGGAGACCCAGGATCGAGTCCTGCACCAGGCTCCTGGCATGGAACCTGCTTCTCCCTCTGCCTGCGTCTCTGCCTCTCTCTCTCTCTCTCTCTCTCTCTCTCTCTCTCTCTGTCTTTCATGAATAAATAAATAAAGTCTTTAAAAAACACAAAGAAAAAAAAAAGGAAAGCAACTTTTGGGAGGGGGGGGCCCTTGTGTGTTGTGTAGGGAGCTAGGAATACAGGCAGGTAGTGACTCGCGAGGCTTGTATTTTGGGAATAACAACAACAAACAAAGGAGAGATGTATGGGACATGTCTGTCTGGCCACAGTGTTTCTAAGAAAATGGGAATTAGTCACTGGATGAGCAAAAACTTGGTTGATATTGATCACAAATGGATTTTTATGTTAAGGTCCTTGTCAATGTTATTGACATCAAAATAATGAAAATGAAATCACTAGAACAGTTAGATCTGTAAATTATAATACAAATAAAAATAATTTTATACCAGTACACCCTTATCTTTTCATATTCCCAGTGATCATAACCTGTTTGCTGCTTTACATTTTTCACCTTTGGGGTAGGACCTTAGATTGGAGATATGAAAAGAGAAATGGATTCTGCCCCAACATAGGGTATGTCAGCCATTCATTAAAAGAGAACGTTGTTCATTTAAATGCTTTATTTTGGGGAGGTATGAGCAATAAATGATATTTGGAAAATATCTTTTAAAGAGTTGGTTAATTAAAAGTGGATATTAAGTCTGATACCTAAAAAAATAAATAAATCTGATACCTAGAGTGTACATTTATAGTCTAAAAAATGAGCAAAGAATTTTTAAAAATAATTTATTTTAAAAAAAATTTAAAAAAATAAAAATAAATAAATAAATAATTTATTTTTAGAGAGAGAGTATGTGAGCAAGCAGGTGGAAGAGGGAGTGGAGAGAGAGAATCTCCAGTAGGTTCCCTGCTCAATGTGGAGCCTGGCACAGGGCTTAGTCTCACAACCCTGAGATCACGACCTTAGCTAAAATCAGGAGCTAGATACATAACTGATTGAGCCACCCAGGTACCCCCCAAAAAAGAGCAAAAATTTAATGACTGTACAATTTCTGTATGTAATGCCATCCAGGAGCTTCCTATATGTCCAAGATTTCTTTCATGAGTCTTTGGCATTAACTCATTTTTCTTTGTTTTGTGCAGATGTTTCTTTCTCAGCAAAATAGAGGAGAAACTTACTCTTCCTCTAGGTGATCATAGTTTGTCCATGGATGAAGAGAGAGATTCTAGTGATAAGATGGAAGTGCAGGAACAGGGAGAAGAGGTCTGTTCTCTGATTAAGAACTGTATGTTCTCCATGAAAATGAAGATGGTGGAAAGTGCAAGAAAGCAGGTAGGTTTGTGGTCTTCTATTGTAGCACAGAATTTTCTTAAATTAGCTGTTTTTTAGACTTAGCTTTTCCTTAAAATCTGAAGCTTGAATGTAATTCAGTAGTATTTTTTTCTCTTTAGTAAACTTGAAGAAACACTTAAAATCATCCAGAATACTCTAAAGTTTATTATACATTAATTAATCATTAGGAAATGATTATTTTCTGTTATTAAAAAAAGAAAATAAATCCAGTATCAGATATGATATTGTTTAAAAAAATCAATGATTTCCAGTTAGTTGAAAATCTTATTTAGGTTTATTTTGTGGAAATCTGTCATATGATAATAATATCCTTTCTTAATATAAGTATGCTTTGCTTATATGTTACATATAAATATATTAAATCTGACTTTTCATGTAATTAAGTCACATTTGAATATACTAGGGGAGCTTGTTCATTTAATGACCTGATATTAATAGATTGCTATTATAAACCAAAGAATGTATTCCTGTAGGAATAACTAACATTTCTGTTCATAAGTGCTCATTTATAGGTTCTTCTTTGAGATGGGTTTTGTATCAGTTAGGAATTTTTATATTTCAAATAATAGAAAATTCATCCCAGAGCAGCCTAAATGAATAAAAGAAATTTATTAGTTCCCATGAATAAAGAAGTTTAGAAGATCTGGCTTTAAAATACTCTGAACTATTATCATCAAGGGCTTGCTTTCTGTCCTTCAGTTCTCTCTTCTGCCATATGGTTTTGTCCTCAGATTCTTACATATTGGTAAGATAATCTCTGGCAGCTCATCCTTTGTATTTGGAAATGGCTGTAGATGTTTCATATCTTTCTTCCTCTAACTACATCTTCTTAGAATTAAAGACAGTTTTTCTCTATTTCTTGTAGAAAAAAAGAATCCTTTTCATTTGCTCTGATTGCAGCTGGGGCCATCTTCAAGGCACACACTAAGGAGGGTCTGTGTGCCTTCTTAGGAAGTTAGGGTACTTGGGCCAGATAAAGAGACAGTGCATGCTACCTACTGCTATTCAGACTTCTCCAAAGTGAGGGGAAGGGTCCTGATGAGAGAGGGAAAGGAAATGAGCTGCAAGTATATTATTTAGAAATATGTAAGAATCACTAGGATCACTAAAAACCTTTCATATGGCACACTGGCTTTTCTTAGGAATTTTTCAATAATAAGTAAGGGCTAAATAGAGTTAGCTTGATAGGAATAGTACTACTAGAGGTGAACAGAAAAAAAACAGTTCCAGTCTGAAGATTACATAAACCCTTCAGTGCATTCCAGTTTACCAGCCTGTACTTTTCAAAAGAGCAGAACTGAAATTTGAGTTTTGCCTCTTCATTACCAAGCACAACATTACATGGTGGAGATACTGTGTTGAATAAAATACAGACCGTAGACAAACAATTATAGTATGATAATACTAAAGGACGGTCACATGGGAAGGACACCTGACTTAGCCTTATGGGAACAGAGAAAGCTTCCTGCAGTAGTTGGGAACTGAAAGGTGAAATAGGGTGGTGAGAATAACATAAAAGACCCAGGAATGACCCTGAGCATTTAGTTTCCTGAGTAGAACTACCATTGAACCCCAGCTTCTATGTTAATAGTCCAGATAATTAATAAGGGCAGCCAGTCTGGAGGTAAGTGGACAGGTTCAAGAAGAAGGAGGTGTGGGTGAGACACTATGATTGGTTCTATTTGGGAGGGAAAAGTAGGATCCTTGGGGTTCTGCCTGTGTAGCTGGGTGGATGGGAATGCAGGAAAAGGAGCAGTTTTGGGGGCAGGTGGTGCAATCAGTTTAGGACATAGTGAATATGGGAAGCTGTTAAGCAAGTTGTGTTTTTGTTAGATAATTTGTACATAAGAAATCTAAAGTTCTGGAGAAAAATATCTGTGCTTGCGATAGAGGTCCGAATGCGATCGGCATGTGGACTATCACTGAAGCCACAGGAGTAGATGAGGTGACTGAGACCAGTTGCCAAAATTGGCCTACAGCTTTAAGAGGAGCAAAGGGAGAGATGCCTACAAAGGAGCTGAAATCAAATGGTGACATTACAGGATGACCAAGAAGCTGAGCCCACAGAATTTAGATTACAATTTGATGTCAGAAAGCCAATTCAGAAGCACAATTATAAAGCAACTGGTGGCTCTGGAAAAAAGCATAAAGGTTTCAAGAGACTTCATGAAGGCAGAAATTAGATCTAATCAGGCTGAAATTAAAAATCAATTAAATGAGGGCAGCCTGGGTGGCTCAGCGGTTTAGTGCCGCCTTTTGCCCAGTGCGTGATCCTGGGGACCTGGGGTCAAGTCCCACATCCGGCTCCCTTCATGGAGCCTGCTTCTCTCTCTGCCTGTGTCTCTGCCTCTCTCTCTCTCTCTCTGTGTCTCATGAATAAATAAATAAACAAATCTTTAAAAAAAAATCAATTAAATGAGAAGCAATCCAAACTGGAGGTCCTAACGACTAGGGTAAAGGAGGTAGAAGAATGAGTGAGTGACATAGAAGACAAGTTGATGGCAAGGAAGGAAGCTGAGGAAAAAAGAGAAAAACAATTAAAAGACCATTAGGAAAGGTTAAGGGTAATAAATGACAGCCTCAGAAGGAAAAATCTACATTTAATTGGGGTTCCAGAAGGTGCCAAAAGGGACAGAGGACCAGAAAGCGTATTTGAACAAATCATAGCTGAAAACTTTCCTAATGTGGGGAGAGAAACAGGCATTCAGATCCAGGAGATAGATCCCCCCCCCAAAAAAAAAATCAATAAAAACTATTCAACACCTTGACATTTAACAGTGAAACTTGAAAATTCCAAAGACAAAGAGAAAACGGTTAAAGCAGCAAGAGACAAGAGATCCCTAACTTATATGGGGAGAAGTACTAGGTTAACAGCAGACCTCTGCACAGAGACCTGGCAGGCCAGAAAGGGCTGGCAGGATATATTCAGGGTCCTAAATGAGAAGAATGTGCAGCCAAGAATACTCTATCCAACAAGGCTCTCATTCAGAATAGAAGGAGAGATAAAGAGCTTCCAAGATAGGCAGAAACTGAAAGAGTATGTGACCACCAAACCATCTCTGCAAGAAATATTAAGGGGGACTCTGTAAAAGAAAGAGGAAATCCAAAGAAACAATCCACAAAAACGGACTAAATAGGTATTATGATGACACAACATTCATCTTTCAATAGTAACTCTAAACGTGAATGGGCTTAAAGATCCCATCAAAAGGCGCAGGGTTTCAGACTGGATAAAAAAGCAAGACCCATCTATTTGCTGTCTACAAGAGACTCATTTTAGACCTAAGGACACCTATAGCCTGAAAATAAAAGGTTGGAGAATCATTTTACCATTCAAATGGTCCTCAAAAGAAAGCAGGTGTAGCCATCCTCATATCAGATAAAGTTTATCCCAAAGACTGTAGTAAGAGATGAAGAGGGACACTGTATCATACTTAAAGGATCTATCCAACAAGAGGACCTAACAGTCATGAATATTTATGCCCCTAATTGGGGAACTGCCAAGTATATCAATTAATAACCAAAGTTAAGACATATTTACATAATAATACACTAATACTGGGAGACTTCAACACGGCGCTTTCTGCAAATGACAGATATTCTAAGCACAACATCTCCAAAGAAACAAGAGCTTTAAATGATACACTGGACCAGATGTATGTCACAGATATTTATAGAACTTTACATCGAAACGCAACTGAATACACATTCTTCTCAAGTACACATGGAACTTTCTCCAGAATACACCATATACTGGGTCACAAATCAGGTCTTAACCGATACCAAAAGATTGGGATTGTCCCCTGCATATATTCAGACCATAATGCTTTGAAACTAGAACTAAATCACAAGAAGAAATTTGGAAGAAATTCAAACATGGAGGTTAAAGCAGGGGGATGCTGCTGAAAGATGAAAGGGTCAATCAGGAAATTAGAGAAGAATTAAAAAGATTCATGGAAAGTAATGAGAATGAAGTTACAACCGTTCAAAATCGTTGGGATACAGCAAAAGCAGTCCTGAGAGGGAAATACATCACAATACAAGCATCCCTCACATAATTAGAAAAAACTCAAATGCACAAGCTAACCTTGCACCTAAAGGAACTGGAGAAACAACAGCAAATAAAACCTACACCCAGCAGAAGAAGAGAGTTAATAAAGATTCAAGCAGAACTCCATGAAATAGTGACCAGAAGAACTGTGAAACAGATCAACCAAACCAGGAGTTGGTTCTTTGAAAGAATTAATAAGATAAACCATTAGCCAGACTTATTAAAAACAAAAGAGAAAAGACTCAAATTAATAAAATCACGATTGCAAAAGGAGAGGTCACCACCAATACCAAGGAAATACAAACGATTTTAAAAACTTATTATGAGCAGCTATATGCCAATAAATTAGGCAATTTAGAAGAAATGGATGCATTTCTGGAAAACCACAAAATCCCAAAACTGGAACAGGAAGAAATAGAAAACCTGAAAAGGCCGATAACCAGGGAGGAAATTGAAGCAGTCATCAAAAAACATCCCAAGTCACAAAAGTCCAGGGCCAAATGGCTTCCCAAGGGAATTCTATCAAACATTTAAAGAAGAAACACTACCTATTCTACTAAAGCTGTTCTGAAAGATAGAAAGAGATGGAGTACTTCCAAACTCGTTCTACGAGGCCAGCATCACCTTAATTCCAAAAACAAAGACCCCACCAGAAAGGAGCATTATAACCCAATATCCCTGATGAACACAGATGATAAATTCTCAACAAGATACTAGCCAATAGGATCCAACAGAACATTAAGAAGATTATTCACCATGACCACATGGGATTTATCCCCAGAATGCAAGGCTGGTTCAACACTCGTAATGCAATCAGTGTGATAGATCATATCAGCAAGAGGAAAAACAAGAACCATGTGATCGTCCCAATAGATGCAGAGAAAGCATTTGATAAAATACAGCATCCATTCCAATCAAAACTCTTCAGAGTGTAAGAATAGAGGGAACATTCCTCAGCATCTTAAAAGCCGTCTACAAAAAGCCCACAGCAAATATCATTCTCAATGGGGAAGCACTGGGAGCCTTTCCTCTTAGATCAGGAACACGACAGGGATGTTCACTCTCACCACTGCTATTCGACATAGTACTGGAAGTCCTCGCCTCAGTGATCAGGCAACAAAAAGAAATCAAAGGCATTCAAATTGGCAAAGAAGTCAAACTCTCCCTCTTCGCAGATGACATGATGCTGTACATAAAAACTCCCCCCTAAGATTGCTAGAACTCATATAGCAATTCAGCACTGTGGCAGGATACAAAATCAATGCCCAGAAATCAGTGGCATTTCTGTATACTAACAATGAGACTGAAGAAAGAGAACTTAAGGAGTCAATCCCCAAAAACATAAGATACCTAGGAAGAAACCTAACCAAAAAAGTAAAGGATCTATACCCTAAACACTACAGAGCACTTCTGAAAGAAATTGAGGAAGACACAAAGAGATGGAATAATATTCCATGCTCATGGATTGGAAAAATTAACATTGTGAAAATGTCAATGCTACCCAGGGCAATTTACACATTTAATGCAATCCCTATGAGAATACCATGGACTTTCTTCAGAGAGTTGGAACAAATCATCTCAAGATTTGTGTGGAATGAGAAAAGACCCGAATATCCAGGGGAATATTGAATAAGAAAACCAGAGCCGGGGGCATCACAATGCCAGGTTTCAGGTTGTACTACAAAGCTGTGATCATCAAGACAGTGTGGTACTTGGACAAAATCAGACACATAGATCAATGGAACAGAATTCAGAACCCAGAAATGGGCCCTCAACTCTATCAACTAATATTCAACAAAGCAGGAAAGACTATCCACTGGAAAAAGGACAGTCTCTTCAACAAATGGTGCTGGAAAAATGGACAGCCACATGCAGAAGAATGAGACTAGACCATTCTCTTACACCATACACAAAGATAAACTCAAAATGGATGAAAGATCTAAATATGAGACAAGAATCCATCAAAATCCTAGAGGAGAACACAGGCAACACCCTTTTTGACCTTGGCCACAGCAACTTCTTGCAAGATACATCTATGAAGGAAAGGGAAACAAAAGCAAAAATAAATTATTGGGACTAAGATAAAATCTTCAGCACATCAAAAGAAATAGTCAACTAAAAGACAGCCTACAGAATGGGAGAAGATATTTGCAATGACGTATCAGGTAAAGGGCTAGTATCCAAGATCTATAGAGAACATGTTAAACTCAACAGCAAAGAAACAAACAATCGAATCCTGAAATGGACAAAAGACATGAACAGAAATTTCACCAAAGAAGAATAAACTTGGCCAACAAGCACATGAGAACATGGTCCACATCACTTGCCTTCAGGGAAATACACATCAAAACCACAATCAGATACCATCTCACACCCATAAAAATGGTGAAAATTAACAAGACTGGAAACAACAAATGTTGGAGAGGTTGTGGAGAAAGGGGAACCCTCTTGCACTGTTGGTGGGAATGTTAACTGGTGCAGTCACTCTGGAAAACTGTGTGGAGGTTCCTCGAAGTGTTAAAAATAGATCTGCCCTATGACCCAGCAATTGGACTTCTGGGGATTTACCCCAAAGACACAGATGCAGTATAACGCTGGAACACCTGCACCCCAATGAGTATAGCAGCATTGTCCACAGTAGCCAAACTGTGGAAGAAGCCTCAGTGCCCATCGAAAGATGAATGGATAAAGAAGCTGTGATATATGTATACCATGGAATATTACTCAGCCATTAGAAATGACAAATACCCACCATTTGCCTCAACATGGATAGAACTGGAGCATATTATGCTGAGTGAAGTGAGTCAATCAGAGAATAAGAAACATTATAAGGTCTCATTCATTTGTGGAATATAAAAAATAGTGAAAGGAAATAAAGGGGAAAGGAAAGAAAATGAGTGGGGAAATATCAGCGAGGGTGACAAAACACGAAAGATTCCTAACTCTGGGAAACAAAACAGGGGTAGTGGCAAGGGAGGTGGGCGGGGGGTTGGGATGACTGTGTGATGGGCATTGACGGGGGCATTTGACAGGATGAGCACTGGGTGATAATGCTATATGTTGGCAAATTGAACTCCAATACAAAAAAAAAATTTAAAAGACTTCCACATAACAACCAACGAAATAAAAAATAAAGTATACATCAAAATTTAAAAACTCCTTTGCCTCAAATAACACACTCAAAACAGTGATGAGACAGCTCATACAGTATGAGAAAATACTGGAAATCATATATCTGATAAGGGTCTACTATATAGAACACATAAAGAACTCTTTATACCTGAACAACAGAAACACAAACTACCTTAAAAAATGGGCAAAGGATTCTATTTTTTTTTTTAGACTGTTTATTTGACAGAGAGAGAACATAAGCAGGGGGATCAGCAGGCAGAGGGAAAGGGAAGAGCAGGCTCTCTGCTGAGCTTGAGCCTGATGGGGGCTGGACCCCAGAACCCTGGGATTTTGGCCTGAGCTGAAGGCAGATGCTTAAGTAACTGAGCCACCTAGGAGCCCCTGGGCAAAGGATTCTAAATAGACATTTCTGCAGAGCAGATATACAGATGGTCAACAAGCACATGAGAAGATACTCAACACTATTAGTTATTAGGAAAATGCAAATCGAAACCACACAAGATACCACTTCACACCTACTGTAATCAGAGATATTGACAAGTATTGGTGAAGATGTGGAGAAATTGGAACCCTCCTACATTAAGGATAGGAATGTAAAATGGTACAGATGCTGTGGAGAACAGTCTGACAGTTCCTCAGAAAGTTACACATAGGGATCCCTGGGTGGCGCAGCGGTTTGGCGCCTGCCTTTGGCCCAGGACGCGATCCTGGAGACCCGGGATCGAATCCCACATCAAGCTCCTGGTGCATGGAGCCTGCTTCTCCCTCTGCCTGTGTCTCTGCCTCTCTCTCTCTCTCTCTCTCTCTCTCTCTCTCTCTCTCTCTTTCTCTGTGCCTATCATAAAAATAAATAAAAATTAAAAAAAAAAAGAAAGTTACACATAGAGTTACCATGTGACGTAGGTATGCAGGAGAAATGAAAGTGTATGTCCACATAGAAAGTTGTATGTAGATGTTTATAGTTAGAATTATTCAGAATAGCCAAATGGTAGAAACAACCCAAAATCTATTAATATATGATTGAGTAAATAAAATATATTCTGTCCATGCAATAGAATATTATTCAGCCATGTGAAGAAATAAGGTATGAATGCACACTATAACTTAGGCGAACCTGGAAAAGACTACACTAAGTGAGAGAAGACAGATAAAAATCACCACGTTTTCTAATTTCATTGATAGGAAATGTCCAGAATAGGCAAATCCATATAGACAGACATGAGTGGTTTGCCCAAGGCTAGCGCAAATGGGGAGCAAATGCTTATGGACAGCGTGTTCTTTTGGAGTTGATCAGATAGTCTGCAACTAGATAGTAGTGATAGTTGCCCAACTGTATACTTGAAATGTGAATTCTATCCCCATGATAAAAAGACATGTACATAATTGAAGCTGAGGAGATGGATTTGCTACTACTCTCAGGTAAGTTGTGTCATGCAAAAATAGAAACAAGCCAATTAAAATTTTCTGTCAAAAAATTTTATTTCTAAAAAAAAAAATTATTTCTAAGTCATCACCCATATGTCCTCATACCACTTTTTTTCCTTCTATAGCACAATTTCTCCCTTGCCATGAAACTACTAAAGGAGCTTCGTAGAGAGTCAAAAACAAGAGATGACTGGCAGGTGAAGTGGGTGCACACCTACTGCCGGCTCAGCCACAGCCGGATCCAGGGCCAGAGCTGCCTACAGCAGATTCTCTCAGCGCTGAAAACAGTCTCCTTGCTGGGTACTAGACTGTACTTATCTATGGAATTAAGTTCAGCAGCACTATTTTGTATTATGTCTGTGTCTTTTAAAACTCTGCTTTTGCTGCTTTATCTGACATTTAGGATTTAAATCTTATAATTTTATTAAATGTTTGGAGCCAAGGTACTTTGTGTCTTAAAATGCTATAGAATATGGTACCTGGAGATTTTATTTCTTAATTGATCAAATACAATTCAAATTAAAGTTTTTTCTTTAATACTTATGCAAATTGTAGGTCTAATAGTTTAATTATTTTTGAGAACCTTGTTTACCTACAAGAATTGCCTTTTAAAAAATTGAATGTGAAACACCTTTTTCCTCCTCAGTTTTTCTCTTTTTATAATAACATAGCCTTCAAAACTGAGGGGAGAAAAAAATTTGTGTGAGTTTTGGATGCATTCCCCTGCTTCGCTACCTGTGTCAGGGGGTGCATAGCAGCACTATTACTGACCATGCTTATAACCATATTCCCATGATTGACCCTTCAGTAGGATGGGGAATGATATCAGAGTATCAGTTTCAGTAAAAATGCAAATAGAACAAACAGGCCTTCATATTTATCAGGATTAGAAAATCATCCTCATGATTGCTTAAATAATATTTTTAGGGTTTTTTTGGTGGGTGGAATGGGGGAGAGGAGGAGGAGTTTGCTGATACTAAGATAACATTAATATTCATAATAATAATTCTACAGTTTTAATAGTCATATGGCTGTAGTTTTTTTTTTTTTTTTTTTTTTTTTTTATGGCTGTAGTTTTTAACAGTCTTGTGAAATAGGGCCAGTAGTTTTGAACATGTATGTGAGGGTAATCTGGCAGAGAATTTTCATAGGTGGATGAGCAGTGCAAAGTGGTTGATGGCACTTGCTGAGTGACAGCCCTTTTTCTTTTGTGCCACCTCACAAAAGACTGCAGCACGAGCTGTAGTTTTGACCAAGGCTGGTAAGCTCTCTTCCCTTAGCCACACTAGGGAAGATAGAGAATTGGACCTGTACATGCAGCATCATCTGTTGCTTTATTAGCTTTAGGTCACACTATCAACTTAAAAATCTCTAGTTATTAACGTATATGCACAAATGCATTAAAAAAGAGACATTTTCTTTCCTTCATAACAGAATTAGGTGCTTTGACAAAATGCAGAATGATGGTGCTTGGATAAAAGTTTATTCAGTGTTTTAATTGCCTTAACCTCTGTAGACTTTGATACAGTCACTGCTAACAAAGAACATTTTTCATTAATATGAGTTTATGAAATTCCCTAACCAATGTTTGAAGCCAGTTTCTTATACTTTCAAGATTTATTTTAATTTCTTAATAGAAATATGTACACTCTGAGTGTCTTTTTAAATTTATGGCATTCATTTATTTCTGAGAAAATCGTGTGTGTGTGTGTGCATTTTTAATCCAGCAGGAGAGAGCACATCAAGTTACTTCAGCAAAAATGTTCTGGCTTTCCATGACCAGAACATTCTCTTGGGTACAACTTACAGCATCATAGCTAATGCTCTCTGTAGGGAGCCAGCCTGCCTTGCCGAAATCGAGGAAAGCAGGGCTAGAAGAATCTTGGACCTTTCTGGATCCAGTTTAGAGAATGCAGAAAAGGTAATGAATACTGGAAGAGTGAACTTTTGATGTTTGTGTGTTGTATGTCCATAATGTGCAGCTTTCAGGATGCACGAAAGCAATAACAAGGAATGATGATTGCTTTGTGCTTTGAAAATGTATTTGACATTTATGCACAGCCAAGTTTCTTTGTGGAAAACGGATATACTCCATGTGTTCCCTGTTTATTTGAATGATACAATTTGTTTTAGTATTTGAAGTGAGAAATTTTGTTGGATTGATGTGGACAGTTCTTCTAAGAATTTTGTTAATGGATTTCACCACCAGTTGCCATTCAGACATCCCATTAACTCGTGGAGCAAACCAGCTTTTTCCACTTTTTTAGGTAGTGTCTGCTTTGCCTCGCTTTTCTCAGGTGATTTTATATTTTCCATAGTTAGCAGCTTCTTCTCATCTCACTGTGCACCTCACTTTAGTTGTTAGCCTTGCTTTCTTCCCCCTCAATGTTACTACCAATGGCTATGCAGGGCAGTGAGGATAAAGTGCCAACTTCCATTTCTTCTTCAGTTCCTGACGGGCTGCATGTCCCCCACTGATCTTTTATGCCAGGTCTGCATGACTAATGGACCATCTGGTTTTTCAAAGTCCTGAGGATCATAACTGAATCATTCACTATTTCACAATCAGGGCAGACAAACACTTTTTTCCATTTAACCAGCATTCTTTGTTATCTCATGGCTCACAAATCACAAGTATTCTTTTTGTATCATTACAAGTAGAAAGTAGAGTTCTTCCGGAAACATTAAGCTGTATTCACAGGTTCACAACTGAGAGCTCTGTGAATTCTAGGTGATCGCAGTTCTGTACCAGAGAGCATTCCATCACCTTTCTGAGGCTGTACGGACAGCGGAGGAGGAAGCCCAGCCTTCTCTCAGAGGCCAGGGTCCTGTAGCCAGCCTGACAGATGCTTACATGACACTGGCGGATTTTTGTGACCAGCAGCTCCGCAAGGAGGAAGAGAGTGCATCAGGTGAATCACAAATGGAAAAACCATTTAGTTTGTCACATTGTGCTAGCCAAAGTTTTAAGACTTCTTTAGGTACTTTAGGTTTCCTGTTTGCTTATTTTTCTTTTATTCACTTATTCAGTCATTTACAGATTTTTTTGAGAGAGTGTGTGTGCATTCATGAGCAGCGGGAGAGGCAGAGGGAGAGAGGGAATGTCAAGCAGATTCTGTACTGAGTGTGGAGCCAAACTCGGGCTTGATTCCATGACCCTGGGATCATAACCTGACCCGGAATCAAAAGTCAGACAGTCATCTGACTGAACCACCCAGGCACCCCTGCTTGTTTGTTTTTAAATGACAGTTATTCTGAGAAAAATCTTGTCCTTTTAAGAAGCCATGGCATGTTGCTGAGTGAAGTAAGTCAATCAGAGAAAGACACTTAATGTGCTTTCACACACACGTGGAATATAAGAAACAGCATAGAGTATCAGAGGGGAAGGGAGGGAAAACTGAATGGTAAGTCATCAGAGAGGGAGAAAAACCATGAAAGACTCTTAACTATAAGAAACAAACTGAGGGTTCTTGGAGGGGAAGTAGGTGAGGAACGGGGTAATTGGGTGACGGGCATTAAGAAGAGTGTATGAGGGCAGCCTGGGTGGCTCAGCGGTTTAGTGCCATCTTCAGCCCAAAGTGTGATCCTGGAGACCCGGGATCGAGTCCCATGTCAGGCTCCCTGCATGGAGCCTGCTTCTACCTCTGCCTGTGTCTCCACATCTTTCTCTCACTGTGTCTCTCATGAATAAATAAAATAAAAAAATCTTAAAAAAAAAAAAAAAGCATATGAGGGAATCCCTGGATGGCTCAGCGGTTTGGCACCTGCCTTCGGCCCAGGGCGTAATCATGGAGTCCTGCGATGGAGCCCCACATCGGGCTCCCTGCATGGAGCCTCCTTCTCCCTCTGCCTGTGTCTCTGCCTCTCTCTCTGTGTCTCTCATGAATAAATAAATAAATAAAATCTTTAAAAAAAAAAACATATAATGAGCGCTGGGTGTTATATGCACTGATGAATTCCTGAACTCTGCATCGGAAACTAATGATGTACTATATATTGGCTAATTGAATTAAATAATTTTTCAAAAGAGGCAAGGACATCCTTAAGTAACATGACCAGCATATAAATAGCCTCAAGCTATATCTTCCCATATGCTTAGTTTATAGTTTCTACATTTTACTTGTAGCTCTTTGGTAATATTGGCTATGTGGCCTGTGTTTTACTCCTGAAATAAATTCAATAACCAGCAGCTGCTCTATGTTCCCACGCAGCCCAGGAAGGAAACTGTGCTGCATGTAGGTTGCATGATCTAATGAAGAGTCACTCTCAAGATGGAAACTTTTACATACGGCTGCAAACTGGGTCTCGTGTCTGTTGATCTAAAGTACTTGTTAAAAAGAGAACAGTGACAATACAAAATATAAGCCCAAAAAAGAAGTATCATTTGTTACATTTATAGTTTATGTGTGTACAAGTGGATGTACTGACCATTGTTTTCTTCTCTCCTATCCTTGGTAGTTACTGAGTCTGTAGAACGGCAGACATATCCAGGCATTGTGGTGGACAAAATGTTGAAAGCTTTAAAATTGCATTCCAGTGAAGCCAGGCTGAAGTTTCCCAGACTACTGCAGATTATAGAGCTGTATCCAGAAGAGACCCTAAGCCTAATGACAAAAGAGGTTAGTGCCTATATTCTAGTGAAGAGAACTTGACAGAACTTAAAACATGTTTCTGTTTATATCTAAACACATTAGTATGTGCAATGCACATGTTACAGTTTTTCCTAACCAGCATTGCATTTTACTATATCCCAAAAACATACATAATTTGAAGCTGTATAAAAAGACTGTTTACATTTACCCATTTTCCTCAGTGAGTGTTGATAAGAAAACTGTGTCTGAACAAGGATAACAGGGAGACGAGGTATGTTTAGGACAAAGGTGGGATTTTTCTACAGCGCATTTGTGGCTCATAACAACTAAGGTGTAGTCTGGAACATCTGCTGGTGCCTTATGCTCAGTTTATTATTTATCTCAGGGAAAGAGAGTACATTTCAGCTGGCATCCCATCCCCAGTGACCATAATGCCTCCTGGCAGCACCATGTTCATCAGGGTCCTGAGGCCTTTGGGTGTGTGGGCGCTCCCCAACAGTATTCTGCTTACCACTTGTATGTCCTGTGCAGGCCTCCCCTCCACAGGACTGCATCAGGCTACTGTCTTCCTGTTGTTTGAGCCATCTGAAAGACTTCTTAATGACTTTTATAGATGTTTAACTGCAAAATTAAGTTGATAGTATAATTGTTTAAAAGGGTAACATAGCACTCAGCTTTATGTAGTGAATTTTTAAATAGTACTGGTTTCTGAGCTGTGGAGACTCAGTGCCTGGCAGGGCTTTACCACACCCTCTGACCCTTTTGTGGGTTTGGAAGGATGGGATTATTTTTAATAGGTCCTAAAAAGTAATTTCAGAAATGTAGTGTATACATGTGTGTGTTTTTCTTAAAGATTAGTGACGAAATCATTAAATTATGATTTAATTTCCCCAAATTAATATTTTATTTATGTATGATGAAGATAGCATTTTGAATTTGTGAGAAATAAATGGAATGTTCAGTCAATGTTATGGCACCAGGGAGTCACTTGAGTTGGGGAGCTAAGCTTTATTGAGCACTTCATTTGAGCCTTGTGAACCAATGCCTTTTACCCCCACACACTTTGCCCTTTCTTCACTTTATAGATAAAGGTAGGAAGCTTGCCATGTTCATTCCTTATACCAAAATTCCAAGTGCATCAGATTTTATCTTAAAATTAACACATTTTAAAAGCAGGAGAGGAAAAAGGAATACATGAGCAAATTTTGAAAATGGCCTTGGAATAAAAAGACAAACACCAGAAGCTATAAAGGAAAAGAACACTTCCTGCAGGGGGAAAAATTCAAAAAGCAAAAATATATACAAAGTTTAAAAAAACTGCCAGAAAAATATTTGCAACCCATACTAGAGATAAAGAGCTGATGTCTCCTTCTACGAAATAAATAGATCAGTAGAAAATGGTCAGAGGAAATGCATGCATGGTTTAATATGTAAGGAAAATAAATGTAGGCCATTTACCCTCACAAACATGAAAATTAAAATTAGATATTTTTCACCTCTCAGATTGACAATAAATTTTTAAAAACTGTCTCCTGTGTTGGATTTTGTAGTCAGACTAATACATTTTTTTAAGTTGAAGCATGGTTGACATAACAGTATCATAGGTTTTAAGCATACAGTATAATGATTCAAAAGTTCTGTGCATTACTCAGTGCTCATCACAACAAATGTGGCTACTATCTGTCATTGTATGAACAGTACTATTGTTGAGCAATATTCCCTATGCTGTACTTTACATTTACTTATTTTATTACAGGAACTTTGTACTTCTTAATCCCCTTCCAGCTGTTTTGCTTATCCTGCCACATCCCTCCTCTCTAGCAACCACTAGTTTGATCTCTATTTAGGAGTCCATTTCTGTTTTTTGTTTGTTCATTTGTTTTTTAGATTGCACATATAAGTAAAATCATACGATATTTGACATTCTTTGTCTGACTCATTTCACTTCGCATACTACCTACTAGGTCCATCCACATAATCACACATGGCAAGATTTCATTCTTCCACAAACCACATCCTCATTATCCATTCGTCTATCAATGGACACTTGGGTTGCTCTTATATCTTAGCTATTGTGAATAATGCTGTGATAAAATGGAAGTGCCGGTATCTTTTCAAATTGTGTTTTTGTTTTCTTTGAGTAAATACCTGCAAGTAGAAGTACTGGATTATATGGTATTTCTATTTTTAACTTTTTGAGGAACCTCCATACTGTTTTCCACACTGGCTGCACCAATTTACATTCCCATCAACACTACCCAAGTGTTGCCTTTTCTCATCATCAGTACTTGTTTCTTGTTTTTTTGATACTAGCCATTGTGACAGGTGTGAGATGATATTTCATTATGGTTTTGATTTTCATTTCCCCGTTGATGAGTGATGTTGAGCACCTTTCATGTGTCTGTCAGCCATCTATATGTCTTCTTTGAAAAAATGTCTATTCAGATCTTCAGCCTAATTTTAATCAGATTATTTTTTTGTTTTGAGTTATAGGAGTTTCCATTTTGCTTTTAAAAATGAAAATTTGAAAAATCTTTTTGGAGGGAAATCTAGCAATATTTCTTTATAATTGTTAATGTTCACATTAACTTCTAGAAATTTATCCTCTGGGCACATACAGCACAAGTAAGATAAATATGTAGAGATATCCATTGTAGCATTATCTGTAATAGCAAAACTTGGAAGATACCCTAAAAATGCATTATACAGCAGTAATTAAATGGAATACTATATAGCTATTAAAAGGAATGAGGTAAATATATCTATCCATCTAAGAAAAACCAGCAACAGTGTATCTAGTCTGATTCCCTTCTTGTAAAGAAAGGATATTTGTGTACATGCATACAAAACATCTAAAAGAATGAATGGTGCTTCAGTGAAATAAGAACTAAGAGGGCTAAGGGCGAGAAGACATTTTATTTTAGACTTATTTTTATGCTTCTGATTGTAGACATATTTTTTATATTGGACACAATATTTTCATAATAAAACAGTGTTAAAAGTTTTATTCATTATTAAGTTACAGCTCTCTGTGTTTTAGATTTCTTCCATTCCTTGCTGGCAGTTCATTGGCTGGATCAGCCACATGGTGGCCTTATTGGACCAAGAGGAAGCTGTTGCTGTCCAGTGCACTGTGGAAGAGATTGCTGATAACTATCCACAGGCAATTGTCTACCCATTTATAATAAGTAGTGAAAGTTATTCTTTCAAAGATACTTCTACTGGTCATAAAAACAAGGAGTTTGTGGCAAGGTGGGTTGATCAAATACTATATGTTATAAAGTGTATAGTAAAAGCAAACACATGGGGGCTCAGTTGTAGCATGTGACTCTTGATCTTGGGGTCCTGAGTTCAAGCCCCCTATTGGGCACAGACCTTACTTTAAAAAGAATTTTAAAAAGTAAACATACGGAAGCTTGAGTTTGTCTTCAAATTAATTAGAGCTGTCATTGAAAAGTAGAAAATCTTCCACATCTATTTGTTGGATGTATCTATCGCAGGTGTGTTATTTGTTACTGAATTTCTTTTTTTTTTTTTTTTTTGAAGTAAACTCTATGACCAGTGTGGGGCTCATATTTACAAATCAAGAATTGTATGCTCTACTGACTGAGCCAGCCATGTGCCCCTGAATTTCTTTCCTTCCTTAAAATACATTTCTTCTTAGAATGTTATTTATGAAACAATCTGTCCTTCTAATAGTAGTGGTTGATAATTAGTAATCTGTTGATTGAGGCAGACTAGATGAGATGCTTTTTGAAGGCAGTTTCTGAACTTACTCTTTAATTCAAAATATCCAAGAAGCCTCTCTTAGTAAGGGTTCAGCAGACTGCCTGAAGTGTTGTCCTTTTCATTTTTCCACTTGATTTATAAGTGGAGATTGTTGACATAACTAGCAATGGTCTATTACTTTTGTAAGAATATTTGGTAAATGCATGGTGTTTTAGGCATTCTCTGTTAAGAGCTTTTTCTGTCATGACTAGACTCTTAGTTGGTAATATATAGTTTTATATGTGACTATAAATAATTGTATTTAAATAAACTGTAGGCCTTGATCTTTGGAAGATATTTGATTACCTAACCTTGGTAATTGTTTTATAGGATTAAAACTAAGTTGGATCTAGGAGGAGTGATTCAAGATTTTATTAGTGCCCTAGAACAACTCTCTAATCCTGAAATGCTCTTTAAGGTAATGTAATAGCTTCTAACTCATAAAACATAGAATTTGGATTGAACTTACTTGCAGTCAGCTTGGTTTTTCTCTCTTTCTCTCTCTCTCTCTCTTTTTTTTTTTTTTTTTTTTTTTTGCACAGGATTGGACTGATGATATCAAAGCCGAACTGGCAAAAAACCCTGTTAATAAAAAAAACATTGAAAAGATGTATGAAAGAATGTATGCAGCCTTGGGAGATCTAAGGGCTCCAGGGCTTGGGGCTTTCAGAAGGAGGTTTATTCAGGTAGGGATAGGTGGCAGCCTGCCTATATAATAATGGAATCATTGTAACAATCAGTAGTTATATTTGCTGGTTTGTTAATAATCCTGGTTTTAAAATGTCTGTTGAATTTGTAAACTTTTCTTCATGCTCAGATTTTTAGACTTGAAGGTTATATGTAGTTTAATATATTTAATTTTTTTAAATTTAAAATTAGTGAACATACAATGCAATATTGGTTTCTGAAGTAGAATTCAGTGGTTCATCACTTAACTACAACACCCATTGCTCATCACAAGTGTCCTCCTTAATACTGTAGTTAATATTTTTAATTCTCAAAGTGTTTTGAATGTTGGATCAAGAAAATATTTGTATCTTATACAAGTTGATGATTATTTTGAGCCCTTCCCTCTGTCCAAGGCATACTCCTGGATGCTGGAGGACATACAAAGAGAAGACAGACCCAGTTTCTGAATTCAAAGGGATTGTCTGACAAATACAATATATAAAGAACTGTGGCTTGAGAACAAGTATGATACATGAAATCTGTTTCTAAAGTTGCCCTAGGGTGGAAAGGAAGAAAATACCCCCAGTCTGTAGGGGATCAAGAAAGCCCCTTGGAGCCGGAGAGATCAAAATGAACCTTGAAATGTCCAGATTTCACACCAACATGCCTTGTGCTTGTTGCTCCCTTTAAATGGGTTTACTTTCTCCTCTTCTCCATCTGGAGAACTCACCTTTAGACTTGGCTTGGCTTATGCATCCTTTCTTCCCTAGACCTCCTTCCCCAACAAGAAGGAGGTTGTTCTGTGTTGTGTAACACAACTTAAGTATATTTCTGTTAGCATTAATCACACTGATTTTGGTCAAATTATTTTTGTTTATTAAACTCTAAGAAACTGAAGAGCATAAGTAGAAGTCCTGGTGTTCATATTGCCAGTTTTCAAGTTTCACAGTCTCTAGTACAAAGGAAGATCTTTGTCCCTTCTGTTGTTTTTTTTTTATATATATATATAACTGCTTTATTAAGATATAATTCACACACCTTATCATCTATTTAAAGTGAACAATGCTATAGTTTTTATTATATAAATATTACATCAGTTTTGAGCATTTACTTTAACATTTTTTTTTAAGATTTTTATTTATTAGAGAGCATGTGAGACGAGTAGAGGAGGAGAAGGGCAGTGGGCGGGGAAGAGAGAGAGGGAGAAGCAGACTCCATGCTGAGCAGAGACCCTCATGTAGGACTCGATCCCAGGACCCTAGGATCATGACTTGAGTGGAAGGCAGATGCTCAACCACTAAGCCACCCAGGTGCCCCCTTTTAAAGATTTTATTTATTTGTTTATTTGATAGAACACTAATGGGAGGAGGGGGAGAGGGAGAGGAATAAGCAGAATCCCCACTGAGCACAAATTAAAGGATCTTATGATCCCAACACAGGGCTCGATCCCAGGATCCTGAGATCATAACCTGAGGTGAAGTCAGCTGTTTAACTGACTGAGCCACCCAGGCACCCCTAGAACACTTTCATCATCCCCAAAAGAAAGCCCATACCTGTTAGCAGTTACTCTCTGTCCCTCCCTCCTGCCACCCTGGGCAACCACTAAAGTACTTCTGTTTGTGTAGATTTACCTCTTCTGGACATTTTGTATAAATGAAATCTTACAATGTGTGACTAACTTCTTTCACTCAGCATGTTTTCAGAGTTCATCAATGCTATAGCGTGTATCAGTGCTTCATTCCTTTTTATGGCTGTGTATTATTCCACCATAAGGACATGTCACATTTTGTTTATCCTTTTGTCAGTGGGTGTACATTTGGAGTGTTTCCATGTCTTAGCTGTTATGAATGCTGCTGCCATGAATATCTGTGTATAGATTCTTCTGGGGAAATCCTCAGGAGTGGGAAGCCATATTTATCTTTAGCTCTTCCTTTAATTTATACCTCCTCAATTAATTATAATTAGACTTGTGAACAGGGATTCTTGTCTTATTCATATTTTCTCTCCGCCTTCTAGAATACTGCCTGATGTGAAACTGGCATCTTGAATTAGATGAATAATTGGTATAGTTTTGATAATTAGAGATAGATTTTGTTGGGTACTTTAGGTACATTCCCACTTAGGGTAGTTTTAGTTAGTGGTATGAATGTGGGAACACATGGGACTATCTGTTGCCTAAATGTGACCAGCAGTATATCCTAAAAGTGAAGATAAAACCATAACTTTCTGTACATCATGTTATGACATAATATTAGGCTCTACATCATATCAAATCTGTCTCCTAGTACTGAATATACAAGAGCCTCAGTACAGGAAGTATACATAATGTAAGAGTACTTAAAATCAATATATTAGCATTAATAAAATGTATAAAATTGGAGAATATTAGATTTGGAAAAGTATTTGTGTTTGTTTGTTTTAAGACCAGTGGTCTACATGCATTTTTTGTAAAGGCCCAGATTTTTGGTGTTTAGGCCATACCAGTCTCATGTTATGAATACTCAAATCTGCCATCCTAGTGCAAAAGCAGCCCTAGACAGTATGTAAATGAATAGGCATGGTTGGGAGGATTCCAATACAATTTTATTTTTTTTAAAAGATTTTATTGATTTATTCATGAGAAACAGAGAGAGAGAGAGAGAGAGAGAGAGAGAGGCAGAGACACAGGCAGAGGGAGAAACAGGCTCGATGCAAGGAGCCTAATGTGGGACTCGATCCCAGGACTCCAGGATCACACCCTGAGCCAAAGGCAGGCGCTAAACCACTGAGCCACCCAGGGATCCCTAGAATTTTACTTATAAAAACAGGCAGTGAACCTTGACTTGCAGGTTGTAATTTGCCATACTGTATTCTATTTTTTTTTAAGATTTTATTTATTCATGAGTGACCCAGAGAGAGAGGCAGAGACATAGGCAGAGGGAGAAGCAGGCTCCCCATGGGGATCCCAATGCGGGATTCAATCCCAGGACCCCAGGATCACGACCTGAGCCAAAGGCAGACGCTCAACCACTGAGCCACCTAGACATCCCTGCCATACCTTATTCTAAACAAAGGAGTTGGATCTGAAAAACAGGAGACTTGCCCTGTATCAAATGGAGAGAATGGCAGAATGGCAACTGACACCAGGTGCCCTAGCATAGTGGAACCAGTTCATCACCTGTGAGAAGGCTTCATTTCAGCAGTACTGTTCTGCTGCCTTCCCCCATCTGCCCTGCTCTCAGGTAGCTCTGACCCCACCCCAGAGAGAGGGCAGGGTATTTCATCCTAGTTTGCTGCCTCTCTCTCTCCTTAACCAGTGTGAGAATATCCACAGCAGCCCTTCATCACTTCATGCGGAATAATACTATGCAGTCCCCAGTTAAGACTGCATGTTATCCCTTTGAATTTGTGGCCACTTCATTGCCCTACATGCTGGGTACCATAGGGCTGCAGCCTGGAAATCTGTTAGGGTAGACCACTGTTCTTCCCAGGTGCTGCTCAGCACAGCTGCATCCAACCCTGAGGGAGAGTATGCTAATGGCAGAAACATACTTCCATCATTCCTACCAGCCATCATATTTGTTTAGAGGTTAATTCTAATACCCTGAAAAATCAATCTACAACTTATTGCTTTATACCAAATCAACACATAATTTGTGTTAATTAATTAGTTAAAATAATAATCTACCAAAACAAAAAAAATAATCTACCAAAACAGAATTGTCTCAGATTTCACTTCAGAGGGCATTATGCCATTCACATATATTGTTGGTGCTGAGTATGTTTGGGAAATACCTAATATTTTCATGTATTCTAGAATTGGAGATTATTTCTATACTTTCAATCCACTTATAGATTAAAAAATAATGGGGTACCTGGGTGGCTCAGTGGTTGAGCATCTGGCTTTGGCTCAGGTCGTGATCCTGGGATCGAGTCCTGCATCAGGCGCCCTGCAGGGAGCCTGCTTCTCCCTCTGTCTGTGCCTCTACCTCTCACGAATAAATAAATAAAATCTTAAAAAAAAAAAGATTAAGGAATAAATTCATTTTATGTATGTCAATTTTCTTGTAATGGATTATCTTAAAATAGGGCATATATTTCATTTATACCAGGTTTATGTTTTGGGGTGAGTTTTAAATGTGGTAAAAATTTCTAATTAAAGATACTGAGTAAATCTTAGTGACTTATTACTAAGTCACTGTTAGTGATTCTCTTGAGTTTTTTTTTATTTTGATATCAGGATTATAATTTAAATGAATATTTGAGTAGAGATTAATACAAATAAATATGTGTAATGTTCCATGTTAAAGGATTTGAAGGGGTACATGCACCCCAATGTTTATAGCAGCATTATCAACAATAGCTAGAATATGGAGAGAGCCGAAGTGTCCATTGACTGATGAATGGATAAAGAAGATGTGGTATACACATACACACACACACACACAATGGGATATTACTCAATCATCAAAAATAAAATCTTGCCATTTTCAGTGTCTTGGATGGAGCTAGCGTGTATTATGCTGAGTGAAATAAGTCAGAGAAAGACAAATACCATTTGATCTCGTGTAATTTAAAAAGAAAACAAGCGAACACATGGTAAGGGGGAAAAGAAAATAAGAGAGAAACAAGCCATAAGAGACTCTTAACAAATAGACAACAGAGTTTGTGGAGGGAGGTCAGTGGGAAGTGGGCTAGGTGGGTGATGGGTATTAAAGAGGGCACTTGTTGTGATGAGCACTGGGTGTTGTATGTAAGTGATGAGTCATTGAATTCTATCCAGAAACTAATATTGCACTGTATGTTTACTAAAATTTAAATTAAAGAATAATTTAAAAATATAAATTAAGGTTTATACTAGTTTGTGATCCAAAATAATGACTTGAAAGACGTTTATCAGAAGCTCTTCAGCTCTGATGAAGAATCACAGGATTTTCATTTTATTAAATTACTCCCTTTATTTAGTACCTTGTTCCCAATTACTCCTGCTGTCATAATGATACAGATCAGTAACTAGACAAAAATGTACTCCAAGAGGTTAAAGGTTTTTAAGCTTTATAATTTTAAGATTACAATTTAATAATTATAATTATTACTAACTGTATCCTTTCTGTCGTTTCCGAGGAACACAAACAAAAGGCAGCCTTCATATGTTTAGAGTATTGAAACATTCAAGGAAAACAAAAGTATAAATCTAGAACCTTTCCTGAAGTTCAAACTAAACATTAATTTTTAATGTAAATTATTATTAATTTCAGGTTTTTGGAAAAGAATTTGATAAACACTTTGGGAAGGGAGGTTCTAAGCTACCTGGAATGAAACCCCGTGACTTCAGCAGTATTACCGACTCACTATTTTATAAAATGTGCACAGACTCAAAGCCACCTGGGAATCTGAAAGAATGCTCACCCTGGATGAGTGACTTCAAAGTAGAATTCTTGAGAAATGAGTTGGAGATTCCTGGTGAGTTTATTCTTGGGGTGACAAAACTGGACTTTAAGGAGAATAGTGGTGTAGCAAGGGCCTTTGAGTTCTAAAAACAGGAATATTGGGTTCTTGGCAGTTACTTTTTTTTTTATTTTTTTTTATTTATGATAGAGAGAGAGGCAGAGACATAGGCAGAGGGAGAAGCAGGCTCCATGCACCGGGAGCCCGATGTGGGACTCAATCCCGGGTCTCCAGATCACGCCCTGGGCCAAAGGCAGGCGCTAAACCACTGCGCCACCCAGGGATCCCCGGCAGTTACTTTTTTTTTTAAGAACTTATTTCACTATTTCACTATAATAGTATTTCACTATACTTTTTGTCATTATGACAATCTATGATTACTGTGAATTGGTACACTTTACTAAATGTCTACTTATAGTTTTCTTATTTTCCTGCTTATACAGGTATTCAGACTTCCATTTAATAATGTAACTGGTAATTTCTCTGAACATACCATGCTTTGCTCCTACTACATTCTTCAGAAATGTAATATAGGTACAATGCAAATCCCTTCCTTGGATGTGCATATTGGTCCCATTTAAAATGACAAAAGATAAAAAAAATAAAAAAATAAAATGACAAAAATAAATGATCTACCTTCAGGACAGAGAATTGTGACTATGAGGATAGAGGCACAGCAAGCTGATCTGATGTGAACACAGCAAGATTTTTCAAAGAGAGTCTTTATACATTCTACCTTCTTCACCCTAGAATTTGCCAAAGAAATATTTTATTATGTTTATTCATATTCTCATATAGTGGATATCGGAAAAACACTTTGTGATTATTAACTGCTATACATCGCATGAAAGAAAGCTGAATATGTAGGCCTCCTCTTATGCAGCTTGATTCTTCTTGATATAATAGAGTTTTCTAGCTTATTGCATTATTTTTTTTTTTTTTGGAATTTTTCTACTCTATAATAGGAAGCTATTTTCCATTAGATTGAGAAATAATAGCATTATTTTTAAAAAAAACTCAAATTTTGGGGGGGGGGCACTTGAGTAGCTCAGTCAGTTAAGCATCCAACTTTTACTTTCAGCTCAGGTCATAATCTCAAGACTGAGATCAAGTCCTGTATCAAGCGCCGCACTTAGGGAATTTGCTTGAGATTCTCTCTCTGCCCCTCCCTCCCCCTTTCATGTGCTTTTTCTCCATCTCTCTCTTTAGAATAAATAAATATTTTTTTGAAAGATTTTATTTATTTATTCATCAGAGATACATACACACAGAGACAGAGACATAGGCAGAGGGAGAAGCAGGCACCCTGGGGGAGCGTGATGTGGGACTTGATCCCAAGAATCCAGGATCATGCCCTGAGCCAAAGGCAGATGCTCAACCACTGAGCCACCCAGGCGCCCCAATAAATAAATCTTTTTTAAAGAAGTCAAATGTTTTTAAAATAAAAACTTACAGTAAAAAATTTTATCACATAGCTTTTTATTATAATTATAATCATTATAATTCTTCTTATTATATTAACAGGTATATGTTAAAATACAGGGTTCTTTTTTTTTTTAATTTTTATTTATTTATGATAGTCACAGAGAGAAAGAGAGAGGCAGAGACACAGGCAGAGGGAGAAGCAGGCTCCATGCACCGGGAGCCCGATGTGGGATTCGATCCCGGGTCTCCAGGATCGCGCCCTGGGCCAAAGGCAGGCGCCAAACCGCTGCGCCACCCAGGGATCCCAAAATACAGGGTTCTATAACAAGCTATATCTAAGTAAGGCTTCTGTGGTTTGTCTTAGGTCAGTATGATGGCAAAGGAAAGCCACTACCAGAATACCACGCACGAATCGCTGGGTTTGATGAGCGGGTAGGTGCCAATGTCTGTGACTTTTGCCAATATATGACAAGTTTTGGTGTGTAACTATTGGATGAAGGAAGAGGAAATAGTCATAAATAGCTTCAGGGCCTATTTGTCTTCATTGTACTCTATTCTGTCCTGAAAGTATTTACATAACAAATCTCTCATCAGTCAAAAATGATTCCTGTAAAGATTATGAATGTGGTGTTTAGTTTTTCAGGTATGAAAATGACATATTTGTCTTTACTAGAGAAAGGAGCCTTCCATCTTGATCTTAAATGCACAGAGTTTTCTGATCCTATTAGTTACTGAAGCTCTTAATACAATGCTTCAGTGCTTTAAGGTAACAAATTCAGAGTAAACTCTGTGTACATGCTTCAGTGTTTTAGTGTAACAAACTCAAAGAGTAAACTGTGTGTGTGTGTGTCTATTTTAAAACATAGGTAGAGTTAACTTTAGGAAGTTAACATGTTATAAGTTGCTCATTTATAAGGAATTATTTATATCTACATTTTATAAGCAATTATTTGTAACAAGGAATATGAAGTTTCTAGAGGCACGGCAGTAGGACATAAACAGGTAACAAATATTTCCCTGGCACTAGGTTCTGTATTAGTTTTCTGTCACTTCACTGTCTCTTTGAGGAATCTGTACCAACCAGCCTTACTTTTTCTCTTTTGATAATGATATGATCAGTTTTTCTATCAGTTTCTTAGACTGCACCTAAAATATTTTCTTAATTTTTAAAGATAAAAGTAATGGCTTCTATCAGAAAGCCGAAGCGCATCATCATCCGAGGCCATGATGAGAAGGAGTACCCTTTCCTTGTCAAGGGGGGTGAAGATCTGCGGCAGGACCAGAGGATCGAACAACTCTTTGAGGTCATGAATGTCCTCCTTTCTCAGGACACCGCCTGTAGCCAGAGAAACATGCAGCTGAAGACTTACCATGTTATACCCATGACCTCCAGGTGGGACCAGTGCACATAGTCATTCTAGAATAGGTTTTTTTTTTAGTGTAAATTTTAGGACTGGGCCAAATCCTTGTTTAAGATTACAGAGATGGGATTTAGTATTTTAGCTTTCATAAAGACAGGGCTATAAACAGAACTAACAAGCACTTGTAAACCTTTGATTTTCAAACTTAATATGGAGAAAGTAAATGAAGAACTGACTTGAGGAAATCTGCTTTGATTCTACGGAACTTTTCTCTGGTGAGGAAAAAAAGGTTTAGGTTTGTGTTCATAAACTATTTATTCTCCTTTTCAGATTAGGACTAATTGAATGGATTGAAAATACTCTTATCTTGAAGGACTTCCTTTTGAGTAACATGTCACGAGAGGAGAAAGCAGCTTATACAAGGTGATGTGGAGCCTACATACTCCTCCTTCAACTCTGCCCAGACATATTGCAAGCCTGTTGCTCCCCAGGCATAATCTCCCTGAGTAATGTTGTTTTAGATTAAGTTCCTCTATCTCATGTTTCCAGTGACATTTCTGGGCCCCTTTTAATTTGGGGCTGTGAGCCACACCCTGGTCAGTTTTCTCCACCTCTGGCTAGATGAATAAACTAAATGGAATAGAGGGTTCCAAACAGTAGCTGCATAGATTCTACCACAATGAAAAAAAATGGTATTAGCTTTGCAACAACAGTAATGAATATCTTAAGGAAATAAAAAGATTAGCAGCTAACATTTAATTAAACATTTTCTTCATGCTAGGTAGTATTCTCAGTTATTAATGTGTGTGAAGTCATTTCTTTCTTACAAAAACCTGCAAATTATTATTAACAGCTCTGTACAGATGAGGAAGTTGAGGCCCAGAGAGTGTATATAACTTGTCATAGGCTGCCCAGCATGTAAGTGGGCTACCTAGGATTATTAGTAATTAATTCTAGGTCATGATATTAGTGCTTTTTATTTTTCTTTACCCTTTTGTTATATTTTCCAAGTTTTCAACAACGAACATAGATTTTTAATCAGAAAGCATTTTGGTTTTTTTTTCTGTAAAGAAAAGTAAGGACAACATTGAAAGACATCTTGCAGAAGGAATTGAGAAGTTTGGATGAAGGAAGAGGAAATGACCGTAATTAGCTTTAAGGCCTGTTTCTTTTTATTGTACTCTGTTCTGTCCTGAAAGCATTTAAATAGGAGCAAAATTCTCATCAGTCAAAAATGATTTCTGTAAAATTAAGAATATTCCTACCAAAGTCTTGCTCCTGCTAAATAAGGCTGTGTGTACGAACTTTTAATTTCAATCATTTGAGTCCTTTGCCTGCAGTTGTTCTGTGTTCCTTGGAGGGCAGGGAAACTGATGGGCAGTACTTCCTGGAGTCAGGAAGTCCAGATCTTACTCATGCTAACTTATTCTGACTTTTAATGGGAATCGTGCAAAACTGACTTGCCCTTTCCTTTGTTCCTATGCCTCCGTGTCTAAGATGGAATAGTAATGTAAAATACATAGGGTAAACATAGGTGTTGGTGGAGTTCAAAGTGCTTTTCAAATACAGAAGTGTATAAATTACTTCTCACTACCTTTTTATAACAAGGCACTTCCAGCCCCCCATTGATAAAATTGCTTTTTTTTAAAAGATTTTTTAAAAAAGATTTAATATTTACTCATGAGAGACACAGAGAGAGAGGCAGAGACATAGGCAGGGAGAGAAGCAGGCTCCATGCAGGGACCCCAATACAGGACTCGATCCCAGGACTCTAGGATCACACCCTGGGCTGAAGGCAGGCGCTCAACCACTGAGCCACCCAGTCATCCCAAATCATTCCTATTTTTTTCTTAATTTGCATGTTGCAGTTTTCTAACCTAAAGATTTTCATTCCAACTGAAACTTGGAGAGAATTTAGATTGAAATGGAGGGTTGTATTGTGAAATTAACTTAGTAGCAACTCAGAAAAGATTCACTTTAAGTAATTGAACTACTAACAGATGAAATAGTTCTATCTTTAGATTTCTTTTTAGGAAAATTTGTTAAATCTTTTGATAAACCCCAAAGTGGCCAAACATACAAAACACATTTCCAACAGCTCACTATGCCTTTTGCCTATGAACCATTACTAAAAATAGCTTTCTATGTTCAATTCAAAGCCATTGTCATTTAAGATAATTCCTTACTGTATTTTTTTAATTTTTTTTAATTGGAATTCAATTTGCCAACATTTAGCATAACACCCAGTGCTCATCCCACCAAGTGTCCTCCTCAGTGCCCGTCACCCAGTCACCCCAACTACCCGCTCATCTCCCCTTCCACTATCCCTTGTTCATTTCCAAGAGCCTTGTTGTATTTCATATGGATTTTGTATGTATCTACATACTGGAAATGGTGAAGAAAGAGTGTGACAATCCAAAAACAGACTTAATCCATCTTCAACGCATAACTTGTCACCTTTTAGTTTGTAGTAGTAATGTGGCTTATCATTTCTTGCCTACTTTGAGTAAGTTGCATGTTGTACTGTCATCTTGTTAAGGTTCTTTTCCACTACCAGATTTTTAGAACCATATGCCTGAATCATAAACACTTACGTTTAATTTATCTTGTTCTCTGTATGGAGTGGGAAATTTATTGTATCTGATCATTTTGTGCCTAAATTTTGGCATAGGAAATGGCTTTGATTTCTTTAGGAGTAACGAACAGTGAATTATGATATATTGAGATTCTAGATCCAGAGTAACATGGATTCACTGTTAATATTAAATATGATTAAAAGTCATATTTATTTCCCTGGCTCTTCACTATTTTTCAATGAATTCTTGGTGATCTTTGCCACTGAAATCATTATAATGCTAAATATCTTCCTAGTGCTGATTCTCTTTTTCCTACTTATTAGTGATCCCAAAGCACCACCATGTGAATATAGAGATTGGCTGGCAAAGATGTCTGGAAAATATGATGTTGGCGCTTACATGTCAATGTTTAAGTAAGTTTTGTTTTGATTTTCCTTTTTACTAGCTAGTTAATTCTTCTCAAAGTTGCATGTTACTTTTGTTTCTTAGAAAGTTTGCCTCATAACATCAAAACCTAGTTATTTGATAATTGAGCCTCAGTATAAATTTTAAATTTCAAGTCACAGAAATTTGTTCTAATTAGTCATTTCCTATTAAATCATAGGGCAGCTAGTCGTACTGAAACAGTCACATCTTTTAGAAGGAGAGAAAGTAAAGTGCCAGCTGATCTCTTAAAGTAAGTATCCTCCTGATTTTATAAGCCAGCTGGTGGCATAACAGAGACTACAGAGATCATGTCTCCCTCCCCCAGGCGGGCCTTTCTGAAGATGAGCACAGGCCCTGCAGCCTTCCTGGCACTTCGCTCCCACTTTGCCAGTTCTCATGCTCTTATGTGCATTAGCCACTGGATTCTGGGTATCGGAGACAGACATCTGAACAATTTCATGGTAAGCATGGAGACAGGCGGATTGATCGGAATCGACTTTGGACATGCTTTTGGATCAGCTACTCAGGTATATGCACCTTGTTCTCATTGTTCTTGGCTGATTTAGAACCATAGTCATAGGACCTTCTGGAAATGGATAGGTTTTAAAGAAGAAATGACACATCAATTAGCTTGGTTTGTCATAGTCCTTAAATTTGACATTCTTACAGAATAAGGGAGAATCTCAACTTTGTTTTGGCATTGTTCAAATGGGTTGCAGAAGGTGTGATGATGAATTATATACTCAAAGCCAAGAATAGAATGTATTTCTATAAAGAGGGAAAACTATAAGGAAATTTTATGAAGCCCTATAATCAAAATGTCTTCTACAAGATGTGATATAAATCTCTGACATTAAACACTGAAGTTTTTTTTTTTTTAAGATTTTATTTATTCATGAGTGACTCAGAGACATAGGCAGAGGGAGAAGCAGGCTCCCCATGGGGAGCCCAATGCGGGACTCAGTCCCAGGACCCCGGGGATCACGAGCTGAGCCAAAGGCAAATGCTCAACCACTGAGCCACCCATGTGCCCCTAAACTCTGAAGTTTTCAATTATACTTGTAAATCTCTGCAGGCTTGTGATCCTACACACATAGTTTTGTGCATTACAAAGATGATTGTGTTGATTACTCTTGGGCACAGTGGATTCACATCTGTGTAACTAATTTCAAGAAAAGAAGAGTTCATATTTTCACTGTGAATAACTGTGGGAGGATGTTTTGTGCCTTTTCTTTTGAGATTTCTAGTTCGTATGTTCTCCTTCTTATAACTGTTTTTTTCTCTAGTTTCTGCCTGTCCCTGAGTTGATGCCTTTTCGTCTGACTCGCCAATTTATCAATCTGATGTTACCAATGAAAGAAGCAGGTGTTGTGTATAGTATCATGGTGCATGCACTGAGAGCCTTCCGCTCACACTCTGACCTGCTTACTAACACCATGGACGTGTTTGTAAAGGAACCTTCCTTCGACTGGAAAGTAGGCTTGTTTATATGCACTTTCCATTTTCATTACAGTATACCAGGGACTGATCTGGGATCTCTTATGTGATACAAATACATCAGATTGTGTTTATTAATATATTAATGTTGTTTTGTAAAGTATTTCTTAAAATTAACATTTGGGGTCAGTTGGCCTGAAAACCAGATAAAAGACATAATCTTCATTTGGAAAAAAACTGTTCTTTCATTTGAGTATATTTCTAATGAGTTAATATATATAGACCCATGGGTGATGGTGGATCTGGTTTCTGAGACAACTTTTTTTTTTTTTTAAGATATACAAATTGTTTTTTTCTTTTTTTTCTTTTTTTTTTTTTTAAGATTTTATTTATTTATTATGAGAGAGAGAGGCAGAGAGGCAGAGACACAGAGGGAGAAGCAGGCTCCAAGTAGGGAGCCTGATGTGGGACTCGATCCTGGGACTCCAGGATCATGCCCTGGGCCGGAAGGCAGACATTTAACCACTGAGCCACCCAGGCGTCCCTGAGACAACTTTTAGTTTAAAATCTGTTCCAAAAATAAATAAATAAATAAAATCTGTTCCATGTGAGGTTCCTTGATTTGTTGCGTAGTGCTTTCTTAAGTATTGAGTTTCTTCATAATACAGCCCAAAAGAATGAAGCTTAGTGAGGGCATCCTTATAGGGTATGGTACCTACTGTCATTGTCACTGTTATGTATAGTACTACTAGAATGTGTATAAAAAGCTATAAAGTTCTCCCCAGTTATAGATGTTTATTTTAAAATCATTACTTGTTCAATCTGTTTGGATGTAATCATATAAACTTAAAATAAGCAGAGAACATCATGTTCTTTTCTTTTAGAATTTTGAACAGAAAATGTTGAAAAAAGGAGGATCATGGATTCAAGAAATAAACGTAACTGAAAAAAATTGGTATCCTCGGCAAAAAATACATTATGCTAAGAGAAAGTTAGCAGGTGCCAATCCAGCAGTTATTACTTGGTAAGATGGTTATTTGTGAAGAAAAAAAAACAAAATGCCAACATACTACTATTTACTGAAGAATTACTAATGTATAATGTGCTGAGTAGTTTTCATTTAGCCTGTGATATTAGCATTATTATCTTTATTTTACAGATGAAAAAGCATGGCTTGGGGCAGCCCGGGTGGCTCAGCAGTTTAGCGCTGCCTTCGGCCCAGGGCCTGATCCTGGAGACCTGGGGTCGAGTCCCACGTCAGGCTTCCTGCATGGAGCCTACTTCTTTTTTTTTTTTTTTTTTTAAATTGGAGTTCAATTTGCCAACATATAGCATAACACCCAGTGCTCATCCCATCAAGTGCCCCCCCTCAGAGCCCGTTACCCAGTCACCCCCACCCCCTGCCCACCTCCCTTTCCACCACTCCTTGTTCATTTCCCAGAGTTAGGAGTCTCTCACGTTCTGTCTCCCTTTCTGATATTTCCCACTAATTTTTTATCCTTTCCCCTTTATTCCTTTTCACTATTTTTTATATTCCCCAAATGAATGAGACCATATAATGTTTGTCCTTCTCCGATTGACTTACTTCACTCAGCATAATACCCTCCAGTTCCATCCACGTTGAAGCAAATGGTGGGTATTTGTCGTTTCTAATGGCTGAGTAATACTCCATTGTATACATAAACCACATCTTCTTTATCCATTCATCTTTCGAAGGACACCGAGGCTCCTTCCACGGTTTGGCTATTGTGGACATGGCTGCTAGAAACATCGAGGTGCAGGTGTCCCGGTGTTTCACTGCATCTGTATCTTTGGGGTAAATCCCCAGCAGAGCAATTTCTGGGTCGTAGGGCAGATCTATTTTTAACTCTTTGAGGAACCTCCACACAGTTTTCCAGAGTGGCTGCACCAGTTCACATTCCCACCAACAGTGCAAGAGAAGATTCCCCTTTCATGGAGCCTACCTCTGTCTCTGCCTAATTCTCTGCCTATGTCTCTGCATCTCTCTCTCTCTCTCTCTCTCTCTGTCTCTCATGAATACATAAATAAAATCTTTTTTTTAATTTTTTTATTTATTTATGATAGTCACAAGAGAGAGAGAGAGAGAGAGAGGCAGAGACATAGGCAGAGGGAGAGGCAGGCTCCATGCACCGGGAGCCCGACGTGGGACTCGATCCCGGGTCTCCAGGATCGCGCCCTGGGCCAAAGGCAGGCGCCAAACCGCTGCGCCACCCAGGGATCCCCACATAAATAAAATCTTAAAAAAAAAAAAAAAAAAAAAAACATGGCTTAAGAAAATTGATTTCTCCAAGGCTGGGCAGGGTCCGTATCTCTGAAGGGTGTGTACTTGGCCTCTGTCCTCTTAGCATAGTTTTCAGGCTTCAGATCATTGCCTGGAATAACCTGTATCAATGTGAGGAACAATAGGAACTTTTTTTTTTTTTTAAGATTTTATTTGAGAGAGAGCAAGAGTGAGAGCAAGCATGAGCCAGGAGGGCGGCAGAGGGAGAGAGAGAAACAGACTCCCTGCTGAGCAGGAAGCCTGATTTAAAAAAAAAATTTCTTGTTGAAGTCTAAAGCAAACAAATTTATAGAAATGTTTCACAAGAGGGAAACAAGTTGGACTTTAAAATTAAGTAATAGTATTCTAATCTGTGATCAGTTGGTCAAGGTACGAATAGTTTTTCCAAAATATGGCTCTGGCAAAGGAACAAAGGTGGATCCCTGTCTCACACCATACACAAAAATTAATGCAGAATGGATCAAAGATTCAAATGTAAGAAGTAAAACTATGAGATACTTAAAGAAGCACAGGGGTAGATCTTCATGACCTGAATTTGGCAAGAACATCTGCCATTTTTAGGTATAACACCAAAAAGCATAAGCAAGAAAAAAAGAATAAAGAATAGTTTTACTTCTTACATTTGAATCTTTGATCCATTCTGCATTAATTTTTGTGTATGGTGTGAGACAGGGATCCACCTTTGTTCCTTTGCCAGAGCCATATTTTGGAAAAACTAATCGTACCTTGACCAACTGATCACAGATTAGAATACTATTACTTAATTTTAAAGTCCAACTTGTTTCCCTCTTGTGAAACATTTCTATAAATTTGTTTGCTTTAGACTTCAACAAGAAATTTTTTTTTTTTTTAAATCAGGCTTCCTGCTCAGCAGGGAGTCTGTTTCTCTCTCTCCCTCTGCCGCCCTCCTGGCTCATGCTTGCTCTCACTCGGGCTCCCGGTGCATGGAGCCTGCCTCTCCCTCTGCCTATGTCTCTGCCTCTCTCTCTGTGTGTGTGTGACTATCATAAATAAAAAAAAAAAAAAGTCTCTTGATTTTAAGGTTATAAGCCACAGGGATCCCTGGGTGGCGCAGCGGTTTAGCGCCTGCCTTTGGCCCAGGGCGCGATCCTGGGAACGCGGGATCGAATCCCACGTCGGGCTCCCGGTGCATGGAGCCTGCTTCTCTCTCTGCCTGTGTCTCTGCCTCTCTCTCTCTCACTGTGAGCCTATCATAAATTAAAAAAAAAAAAAAAAAGGTTATAAGCCACAGAAAATATTCTATAAGTGATAAGAGGGAATGTTTGGATAAGATAGCCAAGAATGCAAGCAACAAAGGGAAAATAATGTCATGTTTTTGTATTTGATTAATCTTTTTTCCAGCGATGAGCTGTTCCTGGGCCATGAGAAGGCACTTGCCTTTGGAGATTATGTGGCTGTAGCACGAGGAAGCAAAGATCACAACATCCGTGCCCAACAACCAGAGAATGGACTGTCAGAAGAGTCTCAAGTAAAGTGCTTGATTGACCAGGCAACAGACCCCAACATCCTTGGCAGAACTTGGATAGGATGGGAGCCCTGGATGTGAAGAACTATGGGAGTCAGCAGATAAACAATCATGAAAGTGGTTAAAGCATCTCCTAAACTTTCATCTATAGCCATCAATTTTCCTGAAGCACTGAAGGGAAGAAATCTATTTAGTGGTAAAGTCTTATAGCAAGAGTTTGATCAAGACCATGATGAATAAGTGAATATTGATATGAATGATTAGGTTACGATTATGATAGACTTAAAGTAGGAAAATATGTATCTAGGTTCATACAAGTATTAAATCAAGAATAGAGCATATTGCAAAGTGCTACAACTTAGATAAACCAGCTCTCTTAATAAATGGTGTAAGTATGAACATTCCATGCAGTGTTCTCATTAGTAATTATGTTCATTGGAAATAAGACCCAGAAGACTTCATCACTAAGATTTTATGAGAGTGAAGCCAAAAGCATGATAAGGTGTTATATTAGTAGTATAGGAATCATAATGAATGATACGGCTTAAAATACTTAGAAATAATTGCTTTTGATATTTTAGGGTATTTTTAGGCCATTTTCTTTCATTTTATTCTCTTCTAATTTAGACATTTCATGATAGATTTGTTCTCCAAAAGAGAAAGTATTTAGCAGAGAGAAAAAAACCTTGGTCTTAGCACTCACTTTTGCTGTTCATATCCACAACAGGAAGGTAGATAACAGTGCTTGGCATCTCAGCCTCAGGATTTCTAACTTCAGGAATTGCAAGTATGATGATAGGGATAGCATACAGCATTTCAATTCTAGGGAAAAAAACAAAAACGAAACAAACCCTTATTGGAAATGAATTCCTTATTTGGAGACAAAACACACATTCTAGGGGTGCCTGGGTGGCTCAGTGGTTGAGCATCTGCCTTTGGCTCAGGGTGTGATCCCGGAGTTCCAGGATCGAGCCCTGCATGGGGCTCCCTGCATGGAACCTGCTTCCCCTCTGCCTGTGTCTCTGCCCCTCTCTCTCTCTCTCTCTCTCTCTCTCTCTCTCTCTCTCTCGAATAAATAAGTAAAAATATAAAAATACATGTTCTAAAACAGCAAGATCAAATTATGAGACACAAAATAGCTTCCTTTCCTTCACAGAATCTCTGCCTCTCCTCTAAGCCTGCACATACCTGAACTGTTTTCAGGTTGGCTCTGAGCTTTCTGTTACTGTTTGTCTTTAAACATTTATATTTGGAGGGATCCCTGGGTGGCGTAGCGGTTTGGCGCCTGCCTTTGGCCCAGGGCGCAATCCTGGAGATCCGGGATCGAGTCCCACATCGGGCTCCCTGCATGGAGCCTGCTTCTCCCTCTGCCTGTGCCTCTGCCTCTCTCTCTCTCTCTCTCTCTCTCTCTCTCATGAATAAAAATCTTTTAAAAAGGTGGGGGGAAGGAGGGATACCCTCTAGTTCTATATACTGTAAATCCCTCAACTTCCCCTGGAGCTTTCCAGCGCTGATTGGTCAAGAATTTGCTCTTCCCCTGTCCTTCCAACTGGTCTTGGGGAGCGGCTGCTGTGCTGATTCTCAGGTGTGTGCACCTGGAGAGATGCTGCACCACCCCCCACCCGGTGCCAGGATCAGTGGGAGCTGTTTACCCCGTGAGGCCTCTGTCCCCTGGGGCCCTGCCTTTCCCGGGCACTAGGTGACATGAGGAACACCACCACTGGTGGTGGCCAGGTCTCCAGCTCTGGAGTCAGCTCCCTGCAGTAACTACCGCAGCTTCAATCAGCACTGGCCAATGCTCCCAGGGGGGGTGCAGGATGATGGGCTTTGTCTGCTCGGTGACCTGGGATCCAGGGCCCTATGCTACTAGAATAGCCCTACCAGGGAGCTGCAGCTCCTGAAGGCAGCAGAGCACAGACACCTCAGTCGAGGTGCCTGGCCTGACCAACTGGCTTCTGCCAGATGCCCCGCCAACGCTTTACTGAGATCAGTCCACAATGTGGGAGCTGCCACGTATGTAAATTAATTAATAAACAAAGTAAAGACATACTTAGATAATAATACGCTAATAGTAGGAGACTTCAACATGACAGTTTCTGCAAATGACCAATCTTCTAACATCACCAAAGAAACAAGAGCCTTAAATGATACACTGGACCAGATGGATTTCACAGATGTATACAGAACTTTCCATCCAAATGCAGTGGAATTCTCAAGTCCACATGGAACTTTCTCCAGAATAGACCGTATACTGGGTCCAAATCAGGTATCAACTGATACCAAAAGATTGGGATTGTCCCCTGCATATTTTCAGACCACAATGCTTTGTAACTAGAACTCAATCACAAGAAGAAATTTGGAAGAAACTCAAAACATATGGACGTTAAAGAACATCCTACTAAAAGATGAATGGGTCAACCAGGAAATTAGAAAATTAAAAAAAATCATGGAAACTAATGAAAATGAAGATACAACTGTTCAAAATCTTTGGGATACAGCAAAAGCAGTCCTAAGAGGAAACTACATCGCAATACAAGCCTCCTGCAAAAAATTGGAAAAAACTCAAATGCACAAGCCAACCTCCCACCTAAAAGAACTGAAGAAAGAACAGCAAATAAAGCCTACACCAAGCAGAAAAAGAGAGTTAATAAGATTCGAGCAGAACTCCATGAAATAGAGACCAAGAAGAATTGTAGAACAGATCAACAAAATCAGGAGCTGGTTCTTTGAAAGAATTAATAAGATAGATAAACCATTAGCCAGCCTTATTAAAAAGACTCAAATTAATAAAATCATCATGAAAGAGGAGAGATCACAACCAATACCAAGGAAATACAAGCGATTTTGAAAATGTATTACGAGCAGCTATACGCCAAAAAATTAGGCAATCTAGGAGAAATGGATGCATTTCTGGAAAACCACAAATTACCAAAACTGGAACGAGGAGAAATAAAACCTGAACAGAACAATAACCAATGAGGAAATTGAAGCAGTCATCAGAAACCTCCCAAAACACAAAAGTTCAGAGCCAGATGACTTCCCTTCCCAGGGGAATTCTATCAAACATTTAAAGAAGAAATAATACCTATTCTACTAACACTTCCGAAGGAAGGGACGGAATACTCCCAAACTCGTATTATGAGGTCAGTGTCACCTTAATTCCAAAACCAGACAAAGACCCCAGCAAAAAGGGGAATTCTAGGCCAATATCCCTGATGAACACAGATGCAAAAATTCTCACCAAGATACTAGCCAATAGGATCCAACAGTACATTAAGAAGATTATTCATCATGACCAGATGGGATTTATCCCTGGGATGCAAAGCTGGCTCAACATTCATGAAACAATCAACGTGATAGATCATATCAACAAGAGAAAAAACAACCATATGATCCTCTCAATAGATGCAGAGAACGTATTTGACAAAATACAGCATCCACTCCTGATCAAAACTCTGAAGAGTGTAAGGATAGAGGGAACATTTCTCAGCATCGTAAAAGCCATGTCCGAAAAGCCCACAGCACATATAATCATCAACGGGGAAACACTGAGAGCCTTTTCCTAAGATCAGGAACACGACAGGGATGTCCACTCTCACCACAGCTATTCAACATAGTACTGGAAGTCCTAGCCTCAGCAATCAGACAACAAAAAGAAATCAAAGGCATTCAAATTGGCAGAGAAGAGGTCAAACTCTCCCTCTTTGCAGATGGCATGATACTGTACATAGAAAACTCAAACACTCCACCCCAAGATTGCTAGAATTCATACAGTAATTTGGCAATGTGGCAGGATACAAAATCAATGACCAGAAATCAGTGGCATTTCTATACACTAACAATGAGACTGAAGAAAGAGAAATTAAGGAGTCAACCCCACTTATAATTGCACCCAGAAGCATAAGATACCTTGGAATAAACCTAACCATGGAAGTAAAGAATCTATACCCTAAACACTACAGAACACTTCTGAAAGAAATTGAGGAAGACACAAAGAGAGGGGGAAATATTCCATGCTCATGGATTGGAAGAATTAATAGTGAAAATGTCAATGCTACCCAGAGCAATTAACACATTTAATGCAATCCCTATCAAATACCATGGACTTTCTTCAGAGAGTTGAAACAAATAATCTCAAGATTTGTGTGGATTGAGAAAAGACCCGAATATCCAGGGGAATATTGAAAAAGAAAACCAGAGCCGGGGGCATCACAATGCCGGATTTCAGGTTATATGTATTACAAAACTGTGATCATGAAGACAGTGTGGTACTTGGACAAAAACAGACACATAGATCAGTGGAACAGAATAGAGAATCCAGAAATGAATCTTCAACTTTACAGTCAATTAATATTTGACAAAGCAGGAAAGACTATCCATTGGGGAAAAGAATCTTCAGTAAATGGTGCTGGGAAAATTGGACAGCCACGTGCAGAAGAATGAAACTAGACCCTTCTCTTACATTAGACACAAAGATAAACTCAAAATGGATGAAGGATCTAAATGGGAGACAAGAATCCATCAAAATCCTAGAGGAGAACAAGGCAACACCCTTTTTGAACATGGCCACAGCAACTTCTTGCAAGATACATCTATGAAAGCAAGAGAAACAAAAGCAAAAATTAATTATTTGGACTTCATCAAAATAAAAAGCTTCTGCACAGCCAAAGAAACAGTCCACAAAACTAAAAGACAACCTACAGAACGGGAGAAGATATTTGCAAATGACCTATCAGATAAAAGACTAGTCTCCAAGATCTATAGAGAACTTATTAAACTCAACAGCAAAGAAACAAACAATCCAATCATGAAATGGGCAAAAGACATGAAGAGAAATCTCACAGAGGAAGACACAGACATGGCCAACACGCACATGAGAAAATGCTCTGCATTACTTGCCATCAGGGAAATACAAATCCAAACCACAATGAGATACCACCTCACACCAGTGAGAATGGGGAAAATTAACAAGGCAGGAAACACAAATGTTGGAGAGGATGCGGAGAAAGGGGGAACCCTCTTACACTGTTGGTGGGAATGTGAACTGGTGCAGCCACTCTGGAAAACTGTGTGGAGGTTCCTCAAAGAGTCAAAATTAGACCTGCCCTAGGACCCAGCAATTGCACTGTTGGGGATTTACCCCAAAGATACAGATGCAATGAAACGCCGGGACACCTGCACCCCGATGTTTCTAGCAGCCATGTCCACAATAGCCAAACTGTGGAAGGAGCCTCGGTGCCCATCGAAAGATGAATGGATAAAGAAGATGTGGTCTATGTATACGATGGAATATTCCTCAGCCATTAGAAACGACAAATACCCACCATTTGCTTTGACATGAATGGAACTGGAGGGTATTATGCTGAGTGAAGTAAGTCAATCGGAGAAGGACAAACATTACATG